GGAGGGCGGGGCCCCGGGCAGCGGCGAGAACTCCCTGTCCTGAGCTGAAACCGGAACACCCGGCCCCTCTAGCTAACTACAGGCGAGGCGTCTGCAGGCTGCTGAGGGCGGGCGCTGCAACGGCAGCACGCTACAGACTGTAATCTCCTGCCGCTACCGCGGAGGTAAACACACCCCACGGAACACTGCTATTTTTATAAATACCCATCAGCTGGAAGGAACCCAGCTTTCAAACCCTCGGAAATCTATTAAATGATGTATCGCCATACCGAAGAGAAGCACTGATTGAAAAGTTTTTCGCGGAAACGCTAAGCGCAAAAGCCGCTACTTTGCAACTGCCGACAACAAAGCTGCCGGTTTTGAAAGCACGGAAGATACGAACTGGCACCCGAGCCCCGCGCGCGCAGCGCTTGGCGTTCGCACCGATGGCCTGGAATCTGCTCTGCAAGTCACAAGCACCTGTTTTTCCACCAGGCACCGTGCAATAGCTGGCTCATTTATTTTCCTTATGGCAAGACATCAGCAAAGCCAGCAAGGTAACAAATGCATTTCACATTCCTAATGTTTTTTCGTTTGTTTGTTCGCAGGACCGTGGACGCGCACAGAGGAAGGGGGAGCAGAGACAAACGCATGTTGAAAACCCACGTTCCCCAATAAACGAGAAACTCCTGCCGTTTCGGTGCTGCCGCAATTACTGGGGTGGGGGTTGGGAACCGCAAGCGCTATAAAACCCGCGTTTCCAGGCTGGCAGCAAGTTTGTGTCTTCATTTGTGTAAGCCTCTTTTCAGAAAAAGAACTTTCTAAGCTTTGCTTTCATGAATAAAGTGGGGAGATAACCAAAGCCCTGGGAAACCACTATTACTATTATAATATATTATCATTACACTAATATAACGTCACAAACTACTGTTCACATGCATTTGTTCCACCATTCATATTTGACACTGACATGCCTCTCCCCGTCACGTTCACGCATGTAATGACATTCATATGAAAACGAATATATTCATGCCTGAATATGACATTCACCCACGTAGGTACATCACCACTGCAGCAGGTAAGCTTGTTGGCAAGAACAGGAGGAAACAAACCCGTCTTTCCCCCCTCTCTACATAAACGTAGCAGAATAGTCAGAGAACAAGTGTGCATGCGAAGGGAAGAGC